TTGGCCTTATGGCATTCCACTAATATGGACATTTCAAATTATGACTAAAATTCTCTATGCGGCTCCCCCTTCACCTGACTTTATGATACGGTCACCGTGGGTCACCAGGTTTGTTTACATTCTCTGTGAGCACGACTCTCCATTATGTCTGGAAACTTTCCAAAATTTCAAGTGTTTTAAAGTGTTTTATATATACAGTGGTACCTCGGGACATGAACAGCTCAAAACCTGTGTGTACCTGGCATGCTTTTTTTTTTCAAAATATATAGTAAACATGCCACATAACAAATAAACATGATAAATACACCCACAGTAGAATAAATTAACATCGTCTTGTCGGAGAGTCAGAAAGAATAACGTTTTCCATAGATAACACCAAAGAAAATGTGTACACAATAGTGTTACTGGGGTAACTGTAGAAAATTATTCTTTTTGTATGCCTTCACTCAGAGCACCATTCCTTCTAAAAATGAGCACCATTCCTTCTAAAAATGGTGTTACATGAGAATGGGGCTGTTGCTCTTTATTTATTCTACTTTACCACCATGGACACAACTTGTACACAGTGTGTTTGTACCATGGTACAAGATTCACAGACGTGGGAATGAACATGTATCAACCAAAACTAGACGCGTTCTCTTTCATTTACAGTGGACCCTCGGTTCGTGATGCTATCGGTATCCGATAAATCCGGTAGCTGATGCATTATATAGCCAAAAATTTGCCTCGGTTCCCGTTACAAAACCCAGTATGCGATACGATTCGTACGAGAAGTGTCCACGTGTGGCCTGAACTGCCCCGTGTGTACCAGTGTTTACAAGCCAGCCAGTGTGCGCGCATCTAAGGATACATTCGGTACATTCCATATTATCCATATTATCACTGTTTTTGGTGCTTGTTTTTGCAAAATAAGTCACCATGGGCCCCAAGAAAGCTTCTAGTGCCAACCCTTCGAGACCAAGGGTGCTAATGACTATTGAAATGAAGAAAGAGATAATTGCAAAGTACGAAAGTGGAGTGCGTGTGTCGGAGCTGGTCAGGTTGTATAGTAAACCTCAATCAACCATCTCTACTATAGTGAGCAGGAAAACGGCAATCAAGGAAGCTGTTCTTGCAAAAGGTGCAACTGTGATTACGAAACAGCGACAGCAAGTGTTAGAAAATGTTGAGAGACTGTTATTGGTGTGGATAAATGAAAAACAGATAGCAGGAGATAGCATCTCTCAAGCGATCATTTGTGAAAAGGTTAGGCAGTTGCATGACGATTTGGTAAAGAAATTGCCTGCAACTAGTGGTGACGTGAGTGAATTTAAGGCCAGCAAAGGTTGGTTTGAAAGATTTAAGAATCGTAGTGGCATACATAGTGTGATTAGGCATGGTGAGGTTGCCAGTTCAGACCACAAAGTGGCTGAAAAATATGTGCATGAATTCAAGGAGTACATAGAGGCTGAAGGATTGAAACCTGAACAAGCGTTTAATTGTGACGAAACAGGCCTGTTTTGGAAGAAATTGCCAAGCAGGACCAACATTACTCAGGAGGAAAAGATACCTCAAGTTCTAATGGAGGGGGATTCCCCTTCTAAAGAATAGGTTCAACACTCTCCCCTCCTCCCATCCCATCAATCATCACCAGATCTTCATTAAAGGTAAGTGTCAATTATTCTATTGTTGTTATTGTAATTATTCTATTTCATTAAACTTAATATTTCATGTGGTAAAAGTTTTTTTTTTTCATACTTTTTTTCATACAAAAGTATGAAAATTTGATTAATTTGATTTCCATTACTTCTTATGGGGAAAATTGATTCGCTTTCCGATAATTTTGGTTTACGATGAGCTCTCAGGAACGGATTAATAGCGCGAACTGGGGGTCCACTGTATTCGTTTTTATCTCGTTTACTCACCCCTCACCCTACATTAAGACTACAAATATTTTAAGGTAAGTAAAGAATGTACCGTATATGTATTTTATTTCTCTGGGGCACTTTAAATGTTGTAGGAAGTGGGGTGGCCTGGTGGGCTACCACACCTTCCACACCAGACTTTCTACTAATAAATGCTATTCACCTCTCACCCTACAGTAAGACCATTAAGACTACCAATATTTTAAGGTAAGTAATGAGTGTAATGTATATGTATTTTATTGGTCTAGGGAGCTTTAAATGTCATAGTATATTACATGTGGGGTGGGTTGGCCAGGAGGGCTACAATACCTACCACACCTGACTTCTTACAATAAATACAACGCACCTCTCACCCTATATTAAGACTACAAACATTTTGAAGTAATGAGTGTACTGTGTATAAACTGTACTTATTACTGCTTTTTAATGCCTAGTTCTATTGCTAACTTAATATATGTTAGTGTAAATTTGTTATCTGGCATTTATATGCATTTATAAGTGAAAAAATGGCGTTCTGATTTGCGGCGATGTTCACTTTCCAGCGGTAGCCTGGAGCCTAACCTACTGTATATAGAGTACTCACATTACTTACCTTAAAATATTTTCATCCTTAGATTATACTGAGTGGTGAATATATTTATTGTAGGAAGTCTGAATATATGAATGAGTATAAATGAAAACTGATGCATTAGCAAAATGCCATAAAGCAGAGTGGTGTACAGCGGGACCCTCCTGTATATCTATGTAAGTGACAATGACACCAATATCATTGATCAATCTGACTGACAGTGAAAGGGTTAATGAAACCTGTTCATAATTGTGGATGTTCAAAACTTGGATATTTATAAGAACACCATTTTTTAACTCTAAAGGAAAACTAACTAACTCACTCACCCTTTCTCTTTCTCTCAATCTCACCCTCTCTCTCTCTCTCTGTCTCACACACACACACACAAGAAGAAATGACCGTGAAGTATGTGAGGAACTCAACAAAATATTTAAAGAAGTGTTCACAGAGAAGGCAGAAGGGGCTCCAGAAAGACGGAGAGGTGGGGCACACCACCAAGTGCTGGGCACAGTACAGACAACAGAGGAGACTTCTGAGTGAGCTAGATACCTCAAAGGCAATGGGGCCAGATAACATCTCTCCATGGGTCCTGAGAGAGGGAGCAGAGGCGCTATGTGTATCCCCTAACAACAATATTCAATACATCTATCGAAACAAGGAGATTGCCTGAGGCATGGAAGACAGCAAATGTAGTCCCAATTTTTTAAAAAAGGAGACAGACATGAAGCACTAAACTACAGACCAGTCATGGAGAAGATTATCAGAAGAAGAGTGGTGGAACACCTAGAAAGGAATGATCTCATCGACAGCAGCCAACATGGTTTCAGGGACGGAAAATCCTGTGTCACAAACCCGCTGGAGTTCTATGACATGGTGACAGCAGTAAGACAAGAGAGAGAGAGGTGGGTGGATTGCATTTTCTTGGACTGCAAGAAGGCGTTTGACACAGTTCCACACAAGAGATTAGTGCAAAAACTGGAGGACCAAGCAGGGATAACAGGGAAGGCACTACAATGGATCAGGGAATACTTGTCAGGAAGACAGCAGCGAGTCATGGCACGTGGCGAGGTGTCAGAGTGGGCACCTGTGACCAGCGGGGTCCCACAGGAGTCAGTCCAAGGACCAGTGCTGTTTCTGGTATTTGTGAACAACATGATGGAAAGAATAGACTCCGAAGTGTCCCTGTTTGCAGATGACGTGAAGTTGATGAGAAGAATTCATTCGATCGAAGACCAGGCAAAACTACAAAGCGATCTGAACAGGCTGCAGACCTGGTCCAGCAATTGACTCCTGGAGTTCAACCACACCAAGTGCAAATTCATGAAGATTGGGGAAGGGCAAAGAAGACCGCAGACGGAGTACAGTCAAGGGGGCCAGAGACTACAAACCTCGGTCAAGGAAAAAGATCTTGGGGTGAGTATAACACCAGGCACATCTCCTGAAGCACACATCAACCAAATAACTGCTACAGCATATGGGCGCCTAGCAAACCTCAGAACAGCATTCCGACATCTTAATAAGGAATCGTTCAGGACCCTGTACACCGTGTATGTTAGGCCCATATTGGAGTATGCGGCACCAGTTTGGAACCCACACCTAGCCAAGCACATAAAGAAACTAGAGAAAGTGCAAAGGTTTGCAACAAGACTAGTTCCAGAGATAAGAGGTATGTCCTATGAGGAGAGGTTAAGGGAAATCAACCTGACGACACTGGAGGACAGGAGAGATAGGGGGGACATGATAATGACATACAAAATACTAAGAGGAATTGACAAGGTGGACAAAGACAGGATGTTCCAGAGATGGGACACAGCAACAAGGGGACACAGTTGGAAGTTGAAGACACAGATGAATCACAGGGATGTTAGGAAGTATTTCTTCAGCCACAGAGTAGTCAGGAAGTGGAGTAGTTTGGGAAGCGATGTAGTGGAGGTAGGATCCATACATAGCTTTAAGCAGAGGTATGATAAAGCTCACGGTTCAGGGAGAGTGACCTAGTAGCGACCAGTGAAGAGGCGGGGCCAGGAGCTTGGGCTCGACCCCTGCATCCTTGACTAGGCGAGTACAACTAGGCGAGTACGTACGTACGTACACACACACACACACACGCACACACACACACACACACGCACACACACACACACACGCACACACACACACACACACACGCACACACACACACACACACATACATTTATTTTTAACATGCTGGCTGTCTCCCATTGAGGTAGGGTGATCCAAAAAAGAAACACTTTCACCATCATTCACACTATCACTCTTGCCAGAGGCACACAGATATGACAGATTAGACGTCCCTCTAAACAGCAAATATACTAAACCCCTCCCTTAGAGTGCAGGCACTGTACTTATCACCTCCAGGACTCAAGTCTGGCTAACTGGTGCTAGACAGGAGTGGAGACAAAAGGTTTTTGGGACCTGGTAAAATCTTGTATATATGAGCAAGGAAGTAAAGTCTATCTATAATATAATCATTCACATCATTTTTCTCCCAAGTGCTTAATGGTTACCTTAAAACTTGGAGAGAGGAAATTCTTTAAGAACCAAAATTTGACAGGAGTGTTGGTATGGCGAAGAACAGAGACCATCATGATGCGCAGGAATCTCTCGTACAAGTGTCCTGAAGCCACCGAGAAGATGTTCACTGTCTCATCTTCATCCTCAGTCACACCACTAGAACTGAAGGTGCTGAAATAGTAGAGTAAATATTAAGTTAGTATAATATACAGAGTAGTGGTAGTGTTCATCAGAACAGTGGAAGCGATCATCAGAACAGTGGTAGTGCTCATCAGAATAGTAATGTTCACCAGGATAGTGGTAGACTTCATCAGAGCAGCAGTAGTGTTCAGAAGAGTGGTAGTGTTCATCAGGACAGAGGTGTTCACAACAGTGTATTAATATTGGTAGAATGACCAACAATATGTTAAGTAAAAGGACACAAATGCAACTAATGTGACATTTTATTGAGGCAATGTTTTGCTCTTCAAGAACTTTATCAAGCTGTTACAAACAATACATGGACATAGAGGGTATATATAGGCTTAGAGTGAGGTGTAATACTAGTGGTAGTAGTAATAGTAAAATTAGTAGGAGTAGTAGTAATACAATATGGTAGAACAATCAACTTGCACATGAGTAAAAGGTTATAAAATCTATTACTTGAGAAGCATAAAAATAGGTTAGACAAATATTGGTGGTAGGATTTGAGAAGGTCTGTTTCAGTGTTCCTCCTCTGTAATGTGCTTGTATAGTATTAGCAGCAGAAACTATGTGATGGCAGGGTTTACTATTTTAAGGAGGATTCTCACTAAGACCTCAGAGATGATGAAGCTGCCTTTGTTTTGTTTGTGTTAGAAACAGCAATTAATGCTGATTCAAGGCACTTGCATCTGAAGAAATTAGGTTCTTTGATCACTAATTGGGCGTCCCTGAATTTCATGAGATGATTGGAGGAATTTTGTTGTACGCAGGTGTTGTTCAAGTTATAGTTCCTACATGCATTAATGTGTTCACCGAGGCGTGTTTCAAGGTCCCTTGCTGTTTCACTTACATAAATCCTGTTACAGCCTCCACAGGGTACAGTGTAAACCCCTGCATTGATTGGTTCATGGTGCTTGGATTTTGTCCTGGTTAGATCCTCTAATGAAGTGCTGGATGCGTTAGTGACAGCCAACCTCCAACAGAAGATTAAACTTAATTGCAATCTTCAGTACCTCTGCAATAACAGTCAATGGAAGGAAATAGGAAGAGAATCCTTGATAAACAACCTATCGTCACACACCTTAACTGATTATGAGAAACAAGCGCTCAGTCTGGGTCTCAAATTTACCACTAACCTGTGCAAACCAAACCATCAACTGAACTAAGTCACCAGAAACTACAGACACAGTGACAGTAACTTCCAGAAGGGTCATATACAGGGCATTCTCACCGCAGCTTTATGCGAGTCTTCTTCTACTAATATGCCCAGGCGTTATATCAATGCTCTGAAGGACCTTGCTAATGACCCAAATATTATCATCACCACCGCCAACAAAAGAGGTGGAGTCGTCATACTCAACACCAGTGAATACAACACCAAAAGGATAAATCTTTTGAATGACCATTCCACATACAAATCCATCAACACACAACAATGGGAGACACTCATCAAAGATTTCCTATATAAAACCAGACAAATATTGAAATGCACTAGTGAAGGGAAGAAACTTCTAAACCTGATACCCAGCAACCCTAAACCAGCACTCATGTATGATATACCCAAGACTCAAATGTAATATTCCTCTTAGACCAATCACATCAGGTATAGGCAGTGCACCACACAAACTAGCCGGTGTTCTTGCCAAACACCTTTCCTGCCTTCTGGGGACCATCAGCCCCGCTGATCTTAAGCATTTAGGCGACCTTCTCAACAGCATCCAAAACCTCTCCATCTGAAACAAGAAACTAAGCAGTTTGGACGTGACTTCCCTCTTCACTAAAGTACCTACCAGACAAGTCACCGATGTTCTACAACGTAAAGTCAATCAGGACCTTAATCTTCCTCTACCTCCTGGAGATTTTGTTGATCTGACTGAACTCTGCGTTAATTTCAACTGTTTTTCTTTCAATAACAGGCTCTACAAACAAACCTATGGCATGGGAATGGGGCCCCCCCATCAGCGCCGTTGTAGCCAACTTGTACATGAAACACCTAGAGGCTGAACACTTCTCCAACATTATCCCCTCAAGCATCACTTGGTTACATTACGTGGATAACATCCTCATAATAGCTCCGAAACGTTTGATGTACGGAATCTTCAGGCAAGGCTCAATGCAGCTGAACCGGCGATCCAGTTTACACTAGAAGAGTCCAATAACAAGCTACCTTTTCTAGATGTCCTCATTCACAAAGTACAGTGGAACCTCAGCTTACGAACGCCCCACCATGCGAATTTTTCAGGATATGAACTGTCCTGACTCATGAAATCATAATGACACGATTACAAACAAACCATACCACAGATGGGGATAGAACCCACAATCAGAGAGTCTCAAAACTCCAGACTGTTGCGTTAGCCACTGGGCCAGCTAGCCACATAAAATTCCTCCAACTAGGTATATTTCTACACCATAGGAAGGTAAGCATAGGCGCCACTGTGACCACAAATGCAAGTTTCTACAAACGAATCTCCAGCTAGCGTGGCCGTGACGAACTCTTGCTTAAGTCCCCTCAAAGCCGTCAACATGACTCACGAAATCGTAATGACATGATTGCAAACAAACCAAACGAACTGTCGTTTGGTCGACTTTTTGCTTCTGGATACGAAGGAAATTTCAGGATGCGAACTTCTCCCTCAAGGGAGGTTCCTTAAAAAATAAATAAATAAAATATTTATTTCTTTGAAAAGGTTACAATGTGTGTTTACATATCATAATATGATTGGAGCAAAGAAAGCCACTATCATGCTGAGCCATTTCAGGCAGACTTAACCTAATACTAATAGACTACTTTAGTCTAGACAGGAAGGAATAATATTAAATGACCTCTAGAGGATACAGGAGCCAATAGTAGGGGAAAACAAGTGTAGTCAAAAGATAAATAAAACCAATTTGTGCAACAGAGAATATCCGCAGAGGAAATGGAAATAGCAAAACAAGAGGACTCCATTAGCAATAGTGAGATAAATTACCAATAACAAACTGGTGGGAGCTCTCCCATTGTTGGAAGGTGCTAAGGAGGGATAGGAATGAAAGACAGGGAAAAGTGTGTGCACACACAGGGATACAGTCACAGAAAATCCAAGGCAAACGGATAAACCAAGCCTGTGCACATACTATGGCATTTGGTTTATCTGCCTTGGCATGGGAAATCTGGAAAAAACAGATGGGACATGCAACTATGACCTCCCTAGAAAAATGTCCTGCCCATATGCAACACAGGAAAATGCAAACTCCCTTCTGTAAGCTTTATCACCTGAAATGTGTACCTCTTCAGTACAAGGAAAAGTACTGCTGCTATAACTTTAAATTGCCTGGCATAACCATATAAAGGGGACGCAAAAGATACAAAACATCCAGGCATGGGATAAAGGAAAAAGGGGTAGCAACAGCCACTTCAAGAGGGAGGGGTTTTTTAAGTGCCAGGAAGAAAAAAAAAAAACTGGCAGGAAATGCAGAAAATGTACACTCGCAAATCCAGTCATTCCTGGAGTGGAACCACAGTCGGTGTGCCTCCACTCCCAAAACAACAGATTCAGATACTAATGCCGGAAAAAAAATCCCCACCCCCAGTAACCTAACAATTAACCACCAGTCGATAAATTCTTCTTTGCAATATACTGGTCTATAGCCAGCAATAAACTCAACCAAAATACCCTTTCTTCCGTTGGACTGCTTGCCAGAGGCCTTAGGCAATGTTCGCGGCTTTTCAATGAGACCCACATAAAGGATCACTTGGACAACGAAGTATGGATCCAGGTTAAAACCTATACAGATTGTGACAGTGTGTACAGGCAAAAGGGGGGGGTTGGCTGTATACATTGCAAGAGTCACTTGTTTGCTCAGAACTGCTTATGCCTCAAATGACGTAGTTTGGAAGTTTTAGCCGTAAAGGGCGAGTACAAAACCTAGTCATTGTGGTAGCTTCTACAAGCCTGACAGGATGCAACATACCAGCATATTCCAGGAACAGCATGTTAAATAATTGTCCACTGTCTGGAAAATCTTCCAGCTTCCTGCACCCAACATCTTGCTCCTGGGGGATTTAAACTTAAAGGCACCTTTAAAATTGGAGGGAATATAGCAAATTATATTAGTTGCAGTAATAACACCAAGGAGGCGTTGATAAACAAATCACACTCACAACGAGCTTTTTAAATCTTCTGACACAAAATTCAATTTATAACCAGCAATATATAATTGAGTCCTACTAGGGCTGGAGAATACTCATAGACCTCATCATTCACTAACATGATGATGTGATAAGAAATGTCACCATATCAAAAACAATATACTCTCATGATCACGCAAATCATAATTGAGGTTCAGACATGTATGCGTGGAGCACTCAGACGACAAAATGAGACTAGTCACGAGGGAGCATTCCACCTAATTCAACTTCAATAACAAATACATAAAGTGGGGACCAAGTAAACCAAGTCCTAGAACCGAATTAAGCTGGGAAGATATTACTAAGCAACACAGACCCAAACTTATGCCTAGATCAGATTAACTCGCCCCTCTCCCCCCCACAACCCTAATTATTAGGTGATGGCACTCGATGTATTGGCACAAGGCTTATTCCTCTAGAAAAAGGAGGTGTAGATGTAAAATTGGAAAGAGACAGGCGCTCCCTTTACAGGCGACGGAAAAGAATTTAAGGAGCGGCTCTAAAAGAGGTTCAATATATCAGAAATGCGCAGGGGGGAGCACTGGTCCAGAGAAATAGCAGCATCGAACTTAAGCAAAAAGAATCCTTTAGGTGTAGGAATCGCGGGGAAGAAACTAAAAAGCCATAAATTGAAATCGAAAAGGAAACCCAAAGTATTCTTCTCCTTATGCCAAATCAAAAATCGAGAACAACGTTCCACTGTATTGGGCCCTACTTTTAAACAAGATGGGCTTTCCCTACAAGATGACAGCAAGAAAGTGACGTGAAGCTACTCATAGTCCATATGACCTCCTGTTTTTAGCAAAGCCGACTAAGT